CTTTTTCTAAATTTAGGTTGGAACTTAATGATTTATTCCACCTAATTTAGGTACCTTTTTTCTCACAAACATTAAATTGATGTGGATTATACTCGTTTGTTATTTCACTTATTATCACTCCGGCGCATGGCGTCTTTCTATGTATCTATAACCAAGCCTCGGAATTTTGTTCGCACACTCGAGGTAGCGTTTATCTGAGGAAATCTTAGTTGAGAGATTTCGCGCGTTCTGTATTTTCATTAAACGCTCGATACAGGGCAATTGCCTAAACAAACTTTCGACCGACTCTAAAATCTGCTTCAGAAATAAATGAGTGCTTAAATGTTGCTGTCATTCAAAAAACCAAAATTTTGAAGCTGGCATGTAATTTCACGTTCTTCCTGATTATTATTTACGTTTTTGCTAAAAGTGTCCTATCTCAATTCTCATTATGGTTTTTATTTTTAAAATTACTCGGTGATTTTGAGGATCTAACGTCTTTTGTTAATACCATACACGTCTTCTAAAGCATGCAAATATTCTTTTCTCTGCATCCTTAGTATTCTTATTGGCAGATAAGTGTAAGCAGCATTAAGTTGACTCCCCAAAATAAAGCAAATAGTTGTAATTTAACCTGGTATAACAAACCTCGATTTATTCCGCAGAGACATGTTCAGCTAGTGGAACACATTGACGCCTTTTTTGCAATGTGACAAAAAAATTCCAGCGATTTTAATCTAACTGCAGAAACATGTGTACTTAACCTTTTTAATAAGAAACAGTCTATTTGCAATATGTCAAAAAATAAGAAACGACTTTTTAATTAAATTTTTAATAAAAAACAGTCTAACAGCTATATGTTAAAAAATAAGAAACGACTTTTTAATTTTCCTGATCGGGACAGTTAAAATATCGTGTTTCATTCCATCCGAGTGGCTTTTAAGGTGGAATAAATTCTCTAAGCTGGAATTCCGAAATACGTTGTCAGTTCCCAAAAATAACCCAAATATATTTTTAAGCGACAAACAGCAAAGAGAAAGACTCCACTTAACCGTGCTTATAATTTGGAGCATGTGATATGGGTTTTATTGACATATATTTAAGAGCCGTCACAGAAACGCCATTGCAAACAACGGTTCCTTCCGAAGACATCACTCTTGAAGTAACAATCAGTTATATTATAAAATTTTCGCTGTCGGGCACCAGCGTAGGATTAAATGTTCGGCCTCAATTAAAGCAATATTTGTGTTTTTCATTTTGTCAGTTTAGTGTCTATCGTGCTGCGCCATCTAGGTATGACACGAATCGTAGTTTACCGACCGTTAAGTGAGGTTCTACTCTATACCCTCGCTACCCAAGGAATTAATTTGCCGCATTATTTTAACAAACTCCATTCCTGGCAGATTTCCAGCTTTCAAATACGTTTTTCATCGATTGTTTAAACGCGTTCTATTTTGAAGAAAGAGCTATTCAAATGGCCTGAATTTTTCTCAATGGTTTTTGTACCCTTATGTATTCAGTATATTTTACAGAGAAAATGCGCAGAAGTTTTCTTGTATTTGCCGTTTTTAGCAAATTAAATATTATTTAAGCTTTGTATTTAAAATGACTCCAAGGTTTTGAAAATTGTATAAAGTTTTGAATATGTTGGAACCAACCTGCCCTTACGCTTGTATTCAGGATTTCCGAGCACCAAGCCGCATACTCTAGGTAAAATATTATATATTTCCAAAAGCTATTTTAATGAGGACATAAAGAGTTCATCAGATTTTTTGATATTTGTGGTCAAAGTTGTCCACACTATAAGCGACCTTATTTAATGTGTTGATATAATGTTGTCTGACTGGGCATTTCACAGTCTGAGAAATTCCCGTAATTAGAAACATCCATTTGACGTCATGGAACTGTTTATACCCATACAAATACCATTTAGGAGTTCGACTGGGCCGGTGCAGTGTATGGGATTGTGTCGACGACAAATCCTCTTTCTTTTGATTTTAATTCAAAAACCTTCACTCAATGCTTGTACAAGTTCATGATTTTAGGGTGATCATGGTTTCACCTGTCAAAGGACCGCTTTTAAAAAAATAGCTACGTAACTGTCTTATGGCAAATCTCGGTGCCAACAAAACACTTGGAAAAAGGTTATATGTTTTGCTACTTTGATCATCTTTCCTAACCCGATGAGCACAAATGTGAGTTCCCTCTGAGTGTAACATAAGCATATGCATTAAACACGAGTAATTGAAGACCACCAACATTTCGGTCATCTGTGTTACTGAGTTTGAAATCCAAATAACATAGTTTGACAAGAGCATCAACCAAGTTACTGCCGATCAACTACTTTCGTTTTTCAAATTTTCAAATGAGGCTTGTCGTACTCCCTTACTGAAGGCAAATGAATAAACATAAACTTTTAATTATTGGATATGTGAAAGTTGCGAACAAATGATACTTACTTGCGAACCTGCACTTTTGGCAGTTGTTTCCCATGATTTCTACCATGTGGTACACAGCAAGGTGAAACAGATTGGATGACTTATGCAGCATCTACCCCACATACCCTTCCACAAACTGAACCCGGTGTCAATACAAAGTAGAAAAGACCGGAGGTGGTAGAGGACGCAGATGGATGGTACGGTCGAACCCGGACCTTGGTGCTCTACTACACAACCCCTTGTCCAAATTGCAAATGACCAGGTTTTTTAACCAAAAACCAGAATAGGGGGCGGGCAGTACTGGAGCCGCATCTAGACTTGCCCTGGGTCGTTTCTCCTGAAATGGGATTGTCATAAAGACCACATTATGAAGGAGTCAGTTCGAGATGACCCTTAGACCCTCCACGCAAATACACAACACTGGGCATACTTCGAGATTCACGTCATTCCGTTAGTTAACAATCTTCCAAGCCAGAACATTTAACCCAATCCGAGATCTCCACGCGCGTTGGATTGATTTTAGTGAGGTAAAAGCGCTGAGTCCTTTTCGTGCGAGTCAATCGATAACTCAATCCCATGTTAAAACTTAGTCGAGAAAAGCAAAGAAAACGTCGCGCCAGAGCGGACTTCACATTCAACGTCGCACAGTGAAGAACAAAGGCAATGGTTGGAAGGTCATTTAGTCAAACTGAAATCAACGGTAGTTAAAGTGTGCACTTAACCGTTGCCCAAACACCAAGTTAAGCGAAATAGATAAATGAGCGTGTAGAAATGCTCAGCAAGTAGAGAAACTTCAAAAGGCAGTGTTAAAAGGGCTTGGTGACGATGTTTTGTTTTGTATGTGGCGGAATATGTGATAGTGTGGATTAGCCGGTGGCAATCTATCACAGCTTTCGTGGCCTCGCATGTGGTCTAATAGGTCCATGCAGTGGAGAAATGTGTGGATGCAGTAAGGCAGCTGAGAGAGATGCGTCACGTTTCATGCCTACAAAGATGGGAGTCGCCCTCACCGTTCGGACTGTTATCCGTGCTCGCTTGAGCAGTGCCACCTGACATAAAGAGGCGGGAGTTAAGAAAAAGTATATACTTGACAGTGATATGGAGGTCAAAACGCTCGCCTTGCAATTTAAATGGTGTTTGAAATGCAGGGTCTCAAATAGAGCACCTTAGAGACGGTTTGTCAATCTGCCAAACATTATCAGATCAGATCAGATCAGATTTATTAAGGTAAAGGTAGGCGAGCGCTTTTGAACTCCCTTTTGGTTACAATATCATCATAAAAAAACAATGTGTAAGGCAAGTGTGAAAAAAATAGGTAAGTAGGTACATACGACAAGCACTGGTCACTGGTATAAATTTGTATGTGAATGCCTCCTATTTCAAAATTGTACAGTAACCAGTACGATACAGAATAGACCAAGTAATATCGAAGCGAGCGCATAGGCTGCGGGCAAAAGATAACAAAATTTGTTAAACGTTATGTTAAAAAATATAGTGAATAGCATGATTTGTGACATGAAAAGTTGGGTGGGGCTGGCGGAACAGTGGGAAAATTCGTTATTTTCTGATGCAGCGGAGAAACATAGCCTTGTAATTGCCAAAATTCCTCTTAAATGAGTCCACAGATGAGGAAATAAAGACGTCCACAGGCACAGCATTCCAAGTATTTATCGGTCCGTGGCTGAAGAAGAACCTCCCTGGGTACAGTTTCGCTCCTGTCACAAGTAGATTGAGAGGGTGTCCTCTCAGATTTGTAGTGGCAGCCAGCTAAAAGAAGACACTGAATGCGAGAAAGCAGTGCTGACTGCGTAACATACTAGAAGTTTGAATTAAGTCGCCACGGAGTTGAAAGTAATCCAGGGGAAAGAGGATAAGATTTGAAATTCCAGGTTATTAAGGTGAGTTATAATGACCTCTGACAAGATTGGTTGCCCGTCATTAGACATTTTCGAGGATGGAGCGAACCTAAACAGACCAGGGTCTGACACAAGCGAGAATGCGAGTGCCAGGAACTAGTTGATCAAAAGAAGAAGCGATCACTGGAACAATGGCTTTTTTCGCCTGACGTTTCGGATTCTCTCTTGAATCCATCATCAGAGACAGTTGCAGACAAGGGTGGCTAGTGTACAGGAAGTCGCAGTATTTATTGGATGCGGTCGTCATGCTACCGCATACCTACAGCAATTAAACGTGCTCCTTTTTTCAAGGATTGTTGCCCGCTGGTGCGCTTATTGCTTGATAGCCGGCATGCAAGTTGTTAATTGCTGACATCTCATCACCCGTGTTGGATGCCGGCGTGATGATTGCTCGGCCATCTGGCTCACGTGCTTGCGCGCTCCTCGAGTGGTCAATTGCTTTGGCCAGTCCCGTGAAACATGACTCAAGCAAATCGCGGCTCACGCGATTATCCCCTCTCGCGAGAATTTCGGCCTTATCGAACTTAAATGTGTGGCCGGGTCTCGTCGAATAAGCCGCGACCTGAGAGTTGGCGTCATTTCTCCGTACAGCTGCCACGTGTTCGGCAATTCGCGTCCGGAGCAGTCTTCCAGTTTCTCCGACGTAGTTGCTTTGTCCGCAACTGCACTAGATCCGGTAAATGACTCCAGATGTTTCTTGCCGTGGCAGTGTGTCATTTGGTCTCATCACTTGACGCCTCATGGTGGCCTCCGGTCTGTGCGCAACTCCAACCCCAAGTGGTGCAAGAAAGCGGCTAACGGCCTCGGAGACGTTCTTGATGTACTGGATCGCTCGCCAGAACTTGGGGTCGGCGCGATTTTGTCGCTCGTCTCGTTTGCGCAGGCACTGGTTGGCGAAGTTGCGCGGGTAACCGTTTTCTCGGAAAACCCGTCGAAGATATTGGGATTCGGCAACCTTGTCTTCTGGTTCACTGCAGTGCTTCTCAACACACCGAAATAGCGTTCTTACGCAAATGTGTTCGTGGCAGATTGGGTGGTTACTGTTGAAGTTCAGAATTTGCGTCGTGTTCGTTGCTTTTCTGAACACTTTGGACTTTAGGCCACCACAATCTTTGCGACAGACGAGGTCATCAAGGAATGCCAGCTGGTTATTCTCTTCCTCCTCCATCGTGAATTGTATGTCCAGGAAGACGCTGTTGAGACGTTCTGTGAACGTTAGCACCTGATCCCGTTCGATGACAACGAAGGTATCGTCCACATACCGAGTCCAGAATTTCGGTCTGTGGTGTTGGAAGACCAGCGACTCCAACCGCTGGAGCACCGCCTCGGCGATGAATCCCGAAATCGGAGAGCCCATTGGTGTTCACTTTACTTGCTCGTATATTGCTCCGTCAAACGTGAAGTACGCCCCGAGGCCCTCCAGCTACTCCTACGAAACAAATACGATAAAGCGGAAAATCTTCTCGGACATGCTCAAGTCTTTCAGCTTCGCCAACCAGTGCCTGCGCAAACGAGACGAGCGACAAAATCGCGGTGACCCCAAATTCTGGCGAGCGATCCAGTACATCAAGAACGTCTCCGAGGCCGTTAGCCGCCTTCTTGCACCACTTGGGGTTGGAGTTGCGCACAGACCGGAGGCCACCATGAGGCGTCAAGTGATGAGACCAAATGACACACTGCCACGGCAAGAAACATCTGGAGTCATTTACCGGATCTAGTGCAGTTGCGGACAAAGCAACTACGTCGGAGAAACTGGAAGACTGCTCCGGACGCGAATTGCCGAACACGTGGCAGCTGTACGGAGAAATGACGCCAACTCTCAGGTCGCGGCTTATTCGACGAGACCCGGCCACACATTTAAGTTCGATAAGGCCGAAATTCTCGCGAGAGGGGATAATCGCGTGAGCCGCGATTTGCTTGAGTCATGTTTCACGGGACTGGCCAAAGCAATTGACCACTCGAGGAGCGCGCAAGCACGTGAGCCAGATGGCCGAGCAATCATCACGCCGGCATCCAACACGGGTGATGAGATGTCAGCAATTAACAACTTGCATGCCGGCTATCAAGCAATTAGCGCACCAGCGGGCAACAATCCTTGAAAAAAGGAGCACGTTTAATTGCTGTAGGTATGCGGTAGCATGACGACCGCATCCTATAAATACTGCAACTGTCTCTGATGATGGATTCAAGAGAGAATCCGAAACGTCAGGCGAAAAAAGCCATTGTTCCAGTGATCGCTTCTTCTTTTGATCTTCTAGTTCCTGGAACTCGCATTTCGCTTGTATCTGTATTTCGGCTTTGTTTTTACCATTCATTGGTAAATTGTTGACGCTGAGTTTCGCAGTTGAGAATGTTTGTCAATTAAACGGTCACTGACGGACCGTTTTTTAACTGAGTCTTACGCTTCATGTCTACGCAGATGCTCAGCTCCTAAGGGGTTGGATAAAGTCCGGTGAGTGCATAAAGTTAAAACGTTGTTATTTTTACCTTTAAGTTGTGCACCGCATGATCTGCAGTGGGTGAACTAACTCATGAAATGCCGACAGGAATTCCGAATGCGTTTTAAATTCGAAAAGATGAATTAGTTAGTGTTGTTAAACTACTTAGTCAGGAAAAACATATTTCAGTTACCGCTTAATGCCGCCTTCCGATTGAACTTCTATGCGGTCGCATGCAAACCTACACTCTGTACCTGATGACATAAAACGACGACGTAGATTGCATGAATTTTTCTCATTGACTTTCGATTGCCCTTAAAATCAAATTATATTTTTATAGAAACATATAGGAAAAATATTCATTATTTTGCTCATTCCCTATTAAATCACGTCTTCTTCCAATGCTATACTCGAAGCAAGTGTATAATGCGGTTTTAAAACACATTTTAATTTTCCGAATAATTTTAAACCCACTCTATCCTTACATTTGGATTACGGTTTTCCAAACTGCAAGCCGTATATTTTCCGTTTAAGGAAAACCAAAAATTTCCATTTGGTTATAAAGGAGGCAATATAGTGTTTATAAAAATTAACAGTGGATTTGACCCTTATATTTTACTTTACAAACCACATTGGTAAATGCACAGACATGCCGATTAATGAACGGCCATTTCACAGTATTTAAAAATCTACCAATTAGAAATTGTGGTAAGAATATATTATTTTACTCCGTGGAGTACAGCATTTGAAATAGGACAAAATTTTTTACCGAATAATCAAAATAATGCCTATTATTAAAAATCTTTTCTAGGAAATAAAATTTGACTTTTGAAGGCATCGGAAATCAATGAAAAAAATGAATGCTGCGTAGGTAGTCATTGATTACAGAATGTAGTTTTTGTATGCGGTAGAATGGAAGTTCATTATAAATCCACTATTCTGGTATAACTGAAATATAATAGAATTATGTTGCAGGTTACCTAGTATCACAACTTCGCATAATTAATCTCTTCGAAAGAAAAACACATAACGGAACTCGGGTTGCGTCTAGCTGCTAATTTTGCTCTGTCAACTATCTGCGTCCTCTGCCACCTCCGGTCCTCTTGCCTCGTTGATGACATCGGTTCCATGCGAGGCGGAAGACTAGATTGCGGTAGATGTTGCACTAGTTTACTCAAACTAAAAACTACCACAAATGCAAGTTACATTTCCTTCTCTCGTCCCGCTATGGGTCACACGGTGGACATCGTGGCAACGACGATCAAAATGGTCTCAATACTCAATACTTTTTCGGTACTGTTAGCATCATTGCTATGAAAGGATTTCGCAAAATCAAGATGTCGCCTGTTGGGGATGAAGTCAATATAGAATTCTCATTCCAGACGATTAATCAATATTTCAACTTTGTTTGAACCATGCAGAGGGAACTTAACAAGTACTCTTAAGACATACCTATCCATGATATTTGAATGTGGAGGGACAATTCTGAAGATCTCATAGATGACTGTGTCTTTCAGCACAGTCCTTGCAGTTACACGCATTGAGTATTAGCCTTTTCTGTCGTTCAACACTATGAACGACAGAAAACGTTCTGTCACGAAGTCGAAAAAAGCTGTCGAAATCATATCATGAGACTTATTGTATGCACGCTAATCACGAACTATTTTACATTTGTTAATTTATCTGGAAAACACTTCAAAGCCGGTCGCACAGTTATTGCGTCTGATGTTTGCTCATAACAGAGGAAGTCTTGGATGATAGTATTGTATTCATAACGAAAGCAGAAGATACAATAACCTAATCGGCCAAACTTGTTAAAAGGAATGTTCATGAAATGCTGAAATACTTTTTCGACAGTCATTTCCTTCCGGGAACGTATAACGAGTATTGTGAACTCTCAAAATGCAGAAAAACCTTATTCGCCTATGTGCAGTAGTTAGGTGGAAACGTTTATGTGATATGAACTATTTTAATAAGTGAGGGATACTCAAAACGCAAAAACGGCATGCTGCGTGTTACAATAAGCATGCTCGAGCGCATTATTGACAATCAACCAGTTACTAATGGATGCACTAGTGGACTGAAGAACAAACACATTAGATTGTCCAAGGAACAACTATTCCTAAAAGCGTTTAGGAAATTTACAACAAATATCTGAATATTTTCCTGAAACCAACTTAAAACGTGCATATTAATAGCGGTCATTTATCAAATACTGATGGAAATCATTCATGAATTTAAAAGGATAAGGTATTGCATTTGAGTGCGTGGACAGCGTAATAATGTCTCTCTAGTGCCTCATTTGTTTCTGCAAAGAAATAGATTTTAAGGCAGAGTTTTGGTAGATACCGCACAACATGCAGTTTAATTCGGATTTTAGTTTACGGCCCCTTGTAATTATGACACGTTTTTACTTTCGAAAGTCAGTTATGGTAATATAGTCGCATAGTCAAAATGTTTTCTTGTGTTTCAACCTTATGCTAAACAATCGCTAATTTAGGTGATTTTCGATTATTTTGATTAGGCCACAGGTTTCCTGTCAAGGATATATGTCCTACACTAATTTGCAGTTACATAAGTTTGTGCATACGTTAATGTAACATGCCATGCGGAGTATGGCTGCTCCTGTTATGTTTTGTCAATAGACTCTTCGCCTGTTCTTCAGTACCTTGTATGTTTTTTCTATGTTAATGCTGCTATAATGAGCGAGAAATTCATTGACGACGATTGCGCTAATTTTGTTTTTTATGGACATACAGATATCTAAACGTCCGCTTTGCACGTATTGTAAGTGTCTTGCTGCGATGGAATATGCTAAGGTTAAGGCTGAAGAACACACAAGTTTTTAAATATATTATAAAATTATTTTATTTTCGTAAAATTATTCCTGCATGGTCTTACTAAAACCAAACTCTTTCGTGAATCCTCATATTGGTAGGTTTCCTCTCGGTAAAGCTGCTATGCATTAACTGGCACAAGTGGCGCGAAGTTAATCCCTGTCTGATCTACAGAGTTTAATATTTGTGTGTATATGCGGCTACAAATGGTTTTTATATAAACAATACTATAAAACTAGGAGACAGTATAAATACAACTGTCGGCACCTATCTAAAATCCGACCGCATCATTCTAATGAGGTTGACTTAATTTCCCTCCAGACGTTGAGAATTGCCCGCGCGTTGAATATATAATTCGAGTTGACTCTGTTGCTGCACACCTCATTAACAAGATTTCTTCGCTTGTTATGAGAGAAGGAAAATGCAAATTCATCAAATCTTCTTATAACGCCAGCCTTCCTGACAGTACACTCGTTTATAATTGTCAACCGCCCTGGCCTGTAATGTATAAGCATGCCAGGGCGTACTCGTGTGATGTTGTCTGGAATACTGTCATCTGCACTCGCAATCAGGTATTCTTTTGTCCACGGATTATGCTTAACATTGTTGCCATTTAGTTTATCATAAAATAGGTTAGATGAATTTATAAACCTCGGCTTCATTTAGAACGGTACGAAGAGCTTAAATATTGGACCGGCTAATTTTCGCGTTTTTTTTGAAATATCAAACTGGAATGCGTTAAAGTATGGGCCAAGCATCAAAGGCATTACCAAAATACATCACCCAGACTTTCTAACAACCGCGCAAAAATTTCTGAATCCAAACCGACCGAAAAATTCTACACAACGGAAAGAGCAGGTAATGTCAATGAGGTCTGTTCCCCTTAAAACAGTGCACTGCAAAATGTTGTCATTTCTCATCATTTGGCATTGTGAATCTTGTAAAAGCGCACATTATAACCTCAATCTGCGTTTAAATAATAACTTATTCGCATCAGGCTCTTGAGAGATGTTTTGCTTCTCCTAAATTCCAAGTTTGTCTTTGTTAAGCTAATAAGCCTTAATTAAAAAACGTGCAAGGAA